TTGATAAAAGGGCAATAATAAATTGTTAAAAGTTAGTTTAAATGATATTATATAGGACTGTCTTGTATTGTAACATAATGAATTTTGGAAAAAAATACATTTTTTAGGATATTTTGAATAAATTTAATACCTTAATATATTGCTTTCTTTGATTTGTCTATATTTTGGAGTACGCTATAAGATGTTTTAATTTTTATAATGAAAATAAGGAAATTTTTATGTTTTTAAGAATTTAAAAGTCGTTTCTGTTTAAATAATGAGTGTTGATCTATTCCACAATTTTGCTCTACGCTTCAATTATCTCTACATTCCTCTCTCTATAAATTCGTAAAAGTCTCTCTATGGCGATCAACGTCAAAAAGTCGCTACTTGATTGTTTTTTGTACCAAGAGTTATAATAAATATGTGGATATAAATAATATAACTATTACCCCAGCACTGTCCTTATTATTTTAAGGATAGCAACTAATTCCTATCAACAACAATAAATATTAAGCTCTTGTCCCTAATAAATTGTGCTTGTCTGTGATGTGTCTGCTATATAAAAATTCCCAAGGCAAAAGATAATTATTACTACAGCCCATTAAGTGCTTTACACATTTATATATTTCTATTACCCTGTTATGGCTCAAACAATGACGACATCAAGAAGTGCAGAACGTAGCATTCACGAAATGTTAAAAGACAGTCCGTCCATGAACGAGACTTCAGGGGCTGTACAATCTGGTACGGCGGTGCCCCCGAGTTCATTAAATTTATCCTCGGGCTCTAGGGGTTCTGGAGGTCCTTTCAGTGCACCTGCCACTCCCTTACAGAACGGAGACGCTTTACTGAAAGCTGGTGCTTCAAAAATAGATTCTTTGAAAACTTGGAGTATATCAACATACAAATGTACAAAACAACTTATGTTTGAAAAGCTCGGAAAAAGCACCAGGACTGTGGACACAGGTATATGGTAAATGATTTATGTGGTAAATGACAGTTTACTAACTATGTTTGTGTTTTTTTAGAATTGGAGGCACAAATAGAACAATTAAGAGACACCCAACGCAAGTATTCAAATGTTTTGCGTCTTACAAGAGCGATGTCTGCTCATTTTCACAACGTAGTGCAAACTCAACATGCTTTAGGTGAAGCATTTTCAGAGTTAGCACAGAAAAGTCCTGAACTTCAACAAGAATTTTTATACAATTCGGAAACACAAGAAGTCTGACTAGGAATGGAGAGATTTTGTTAGGGGCTCTTAATTTTTTCACATCATCTGTAAATACTTTATGTAATAAAACTATTGAAGACACTTTGTTGACTATAAGGCAATATGAAATTGCAAGGTAGATAATTAATTCAATACATATAACTAACAAATATATAATTATTCTAATTATCTTTTTTCTTTAAGAGTGGAGTATGATGCCTATCGAAGTGATCTTGAAGTCTTAGTACAGAGCCCGACAACTAATTCAAATACTGCACAGAACCAAGACGAAGTGCAAAAGAATTACCAAAAACATAAAGAGATTTTGAGAAGTTACGTGATGATGTTTCTGTTAAATTAAAATTCTTAGATGAAAATAGGGTAAGCAGTAAAAATTTATTATAACAATATGTATATAAAAATATTTAATGTATTTTTTGGGCTTTCAGATAAAAGTGATGCATAAACAATTGTTATTATTTCACAATGCAATATCTGCATACTTTTCGGGTAATGGTGCTGCTCTTGAAGCCACTTTAAAACAATTCAACATAAAGGTAATAAAAGACACATAGAAATATATATGAATATATAACATTAAAATGAGTTCTTTATCATTATAATGAGTCCTTTATCCTTTTATCCCTTAGATGAAGACACCAAATTCGACAGTACCATCTTGCTTGAACACCAGTAGTAGGACATCACGAATTTATATATAAATGTATAGTGCAATCTGTCCATACAACATTCTGTTTAGTTTTAAGTTTAATCATAATTTATAGACTGCTTTTATTAATTTAGTATAAAGATGCTTACTTTAATTTTAGATTTAAAATATAAACACATGATTCTATTCTATTGCATTCCATGTTAAAATAATTTATCTGTCCTTTATTCCTTTCTAGTCAAATTTAATTATGGTGTTTCACGAATGCGTATAACTAGAAATGTGATTGTTTTATAATATCGATGATTATGAATAATTGTGTGTGATTTTGCATATGGAACTAAAACTTGTATACTGTATCTAAAAATAGTTAACCAGTGTGGTAATTATAAACAAACAATTATTATTGTTCTGTTGTTAATTCTCTTGTATGATTATTTGAATAAATATATTGTCAAATTTGAAAAAGACTCAGTAAATGATTTATATTCGTGCAACTAAATATGGAGACATTTGACAAAGGTTATGAAAAGCACATGGAACATCAATTCAGCAAATTGTGTGATGTTTTCATATTTATTAATTACACAAGGATTAATGTACTTTAGCAAAATTATTACTTCAACAGGATAATCATTGTAACTTAATTTTTCCAAAACTAATGTCGTAAGAACGAATACTTCTCCATGATGCAATTTTGACATCGTTGATTAACATGCACAATAAAAAAAGGATTAACTTACCCTAGAGATTTTGTTCCCTGGATGAAGCCATTTATATAACTTTAAAACTTTTTCATAAC